CCGGCCCCGCTTCTTCCCGTCCTGCCCGTGGGCCTGGCAGCTGCCTGCCACGGGGCTGTGCTTGCTGCAAGGGGATTGTTTTACATGTCCTGTATTAGGAGAGATTGTAAAGATGATTCTCCTCTTGGCCTCGTTCTCGGCATCTGAAAAGGCTGCATCACACTGCGGGTCCCCCTTTGTTGCTTCGGCAAAGATCTTCTGAGCCTCTGCACTCTGCAGTCCCCCTGCCAGGCTCTGGGCCGGGCCACCTAAGCGGGGGCTCGAGTGCTGCTGAGCAGGGGAGTTCTGCCCAGAGTTCCTCATCATTAGCAAAGGATGTTGTGGAGTGGAACTCCGAGACCCTACAGAGTTAAAGAGACTCCCAGAGTCGTCCAGAGCTGCCTGATCAACACTATGGTTAAGATGGGCTGGGCTGTTTGTAAGATTTCCATTGACTGCCACGGAGCCAGAAGAGTAAGAAAAACCTGTTGAGAGGGAAAGTATAGATCATTGCTGGGGCTGAGCAAGAGAGGTCACTGAGAACAGGGCTGGGAGGGCCAGGAGGGATTCCAGCTCTGCCTGGAGGACAGCCAGTGGCCCTGGATTCCATGGAAAACACAGGGCTGCTTTTCCACATGGCTCTCTGGGTGCTGAGGTGCCAGCTGGGGGTTAGGGACTTCCACTGCTCTCTTGCCAGTTCAGGAAAATTCACCTGCCTTATGGAGGTACCCACAGAACACGTGCACCTCCCAGTTTTGCATGGAATTCAAGTTACAGCTTTGTTTGTACTATTACCCCTCTTTAATCAGGGCTCCTCTACTCTCAACTCCTTCCTTTCATCAAGGAAATGGATGGCCAGGCTCAGTCCTTCCCTTCCCCAAAAAGAGAAGGACTTTGCCATCCACACAGCCCACCTCCTCCAAATTCAGCAAAAGCCTGGGACTTAGGGAGTGACAGGGGACCTTCAAGGGCATGGTGGCAGAAAAATTCCACAAGGGAGGAATCTTCTGACAGGAATTCAGAATTTATCACAGGGTATCATAAATGGGTTTAGGGCTCTAGGATGGCCTGGGCTCTCTAAATGAAAAGGGCAGAAGGGAACAACATGGTTTACAACAAGGTTTTTTAAGTACTTCATTTGCTTTATAGATAAAAGCAGCCAAGCCCTTTGCAAAACAAATACTGAAACAACCCAACCCCCTCAGGATGGTAAACACTGAGGACAAAAGCACTCTTTGGTGAGGGATCAGCTGCAGAACCTATTTTTCCTGGCCCACAACATTGCCAGGGTAGCTAAAGACCATGATTTCCATGGATCAGAGTCAGAAGCAATGTCTGCACCTAAAGGGATCCCCATCCTCTCCCATTTGAGCTTTTCCCACCCAGGTTGTTGTGCCTTTACAGCTGTTCACGAGGCACCTCCATAACCTGCCCCAAAAAATTCATTCTGCTATTTAAAGACCCTGTAAGATAAAACTTTTAGAGCCAGATCAGCTCAGGACACAGCTGTGCCACCAGCTGCAGACCCTCTGCAGGTTTGCCATACTATAAATCAGTGGGAATCCCTGGATCCCCACAGAACCCACAGAAACAATTGTTTATTTACAAGTAAAGGCACATCAATCCAACCCTTTATGCCAGATGCACATCAGAGCATCACCCATGAGTTTCTGCTCCCACCCAGAGCTATCCAGCACTCCAGGGCCTGCAGCACCTGGCAAGAAGTGCTTGGAAAACTCAGCTGGGTGTGTTTGGGTGCTGCCCCAAGGCAGCAGCAGCTGAGCACAGGTGAGGCTGTTACCTGAGGTAGCCAAAGCCAGAGGCTTGTTTCCAGCAGCATTGCTTATGCCATTATGAGAACTAGCACCAATCTGCTTTTCAAGTGTTGATGAGTCTCTGCTCTGGTGAACTGGGCTGGGTGTGCTTCTCTGGGGAGAGAAAAGGGCATTTCAGGAAACAGCAGCAGAAATCTCCAAATTCAACCAAATTCATGCATTAGCACATCTGCCTGGGAAGGGGCCCTGCTTCCTGTGTGCCCCAGACTCAGCTTGTTTTGAGAAAAGCATGGATCAGCAGGTTCTAGCCCCAAATGAGTGATTAATTAATTAATTATCTCACACACAGCAGGCACCATGCAGAGAGGGAGGCTCCTCATCACAGGATATTCCCACTCAGGACAGCTCTGCAGGAGCAGGAATGGCTCAGCAGCAGCACAGAGGGCACTGTGGTTGTGTCATGTCCCCAGGCCTGTGCTCACAAAGCTCCCAGAACTACCCCAAAGGGAACATGAAGTGCACCAGGCCATGTTCTCAGGGACATTCTCTGAGGAAACACCTGTGCAATGGCAGCCTGAACAAACAGGGAGGTGCCACCCAGGGCTGGCACTGCCCTAAGGACACCCAGAGCTGAGCAGGCTCTGGTTCTGCTAAATCCAGAATTCTTCAGCTGGAAAAATGCATTGGGTTCAATTCTGTGAACCAGCTCCAGCTTTCCCAAAATGGGAAAGACAAGCCATGGATGGATTCTACCTCAGAGCTCTCAGCAAAAGCAGCAAATGCTTCTCAGCCCTCTGCTGCAGCACTTCTGTGACAAATGGTGTCACAAACTGGACCAGGCCTTTTTGAACTCCTCCTCCACTCAGAGAGGCAGGGACTTGTCACATCTCCAAAAGAGATGGCCCCAGAGGCTTTCTGCTACAGAGCAGTGAGGGATCCCAGCCCCAAGGGGCGGTTCAGGCTCACCCTGCACACGTGAGGAGAACAGGCAGCTTTGAGGTGACTGAGACAGAAGAATTCCCTCCCAGATTCCTGCAGAAAGCAGGGCTAAGAACTGATTGACACCTGCAATTCTCTGCCACAAACTCTCAGGCTTTTCACCCAGACACACATTCCAGCCTAGGCTCTCCTGAGGTATTTCATTTCCTCTCCTTTCTGGCTGAACCTCCCTCCACCCCACAGAGAAAAGAGAGGAAAAATCCACAGGATCCAAGAGGATCATCCCCAAGGAGGATCCTGGGGAACAGCACCCCATTCCTGCCCCTGGGATTTTAATATTTAGGGATGGAAAGTGTTGACAATCCCTTACTCACCACCTTCTCAACACGGCTAGGTAGGACTACGCTGGCCAGAGGGATACTAACAGGGAGTTTATTGGGCTGCACTGTGCTCAGAGGAATACTGATAGGGAGGCTGGTGATGGTTTCTCCATTACTCACAGAGCTTCTCTCTCTCAAAACCTGTCAAAATCAAAAGAGAAAGCAAAGTTCTTACACAGGATATTGAAAAGGTTTTTTAAGGTAATGATAATCCACTTGTTTCTTTGTGTGTGTCATTCCCCCACTCACTTTTTTTTTAAGGAATTTTTAAAGGAATGACTACATCAGACAGGGAGCAGCACCATCCCACAGCACAGAAATGTACCCATTTTAATGGGTAAATTAAGGCCACTGCTGGCCCCCAGCACTAGGAAAAGGAAGCCTTAGGCAAGCTCATTTTCCTTGTGTTTTGGTTGGAGCTCTGTGAAAAGCACTCAGATGTCAGATTTTGTGTCTTGAGGCCCTCTGTAGCAGCCAGATGCATTTCCATGGCAACTGCTACTGCAGGGCACCTGCTGCTCTGTGAGCCCCAATGTGCTCCATGGTTGCACCAATTACATGGACCATATTTTTTACTCTTTATTTTTATAACTGTGCAAGAGCCTCCTTTCCCAGTTCCAGCAGACACGTGCCAGATCAAACAGCATTCCCACTGCATTACTGGTGCTCAGAAAGGAGCACATCTTTCTCTCTCTCTGACCAGCTCTGATTTATTGCATTATACCCACTGGATTTTATCATTTCCCATTCCAAGCT